ATAAAAGTTTTTATTTATTGAGTGCAAGCTTAACGTGAATAAATTGGCTTATGCGTAATGTGTATGAATGTGTATGATTAAATTATATTTGATGTAGAACAAAACAGACCAAGTTTAGAAATCATTGTGAACTTAATAAGTTGATAAAAAGATATCACAAAGTTATAGCTTGTATCTTGAAGATTTACAAAAATTGAAGAGCGAAAGAAAAACAGCAGACTGAAGGAGAGCAACAAAAAGATGACCTCACAGAGTCAAACGTGCAGAGTCACAGAACTAGTGAAATTTGATAGTCACGAGTAATTCTGAGTAAGTTTTAGGTACTGTGGGTAATCTGATATTGGGGATATTCATTGCATCACACGTTCATACACAAGAGTCATAACCTAAAAATATAGGAAGTGCTAATGGAAAGAGGGAAAGAGGGAAAACAGGAAAGAGGGAAAGAAGGAAAGAGGGAAATGGGGAAATAAGGAAAGAGGAAAGAGGGAAAGAGGGAAAGAGGGAAAGAGGGAAAGAGGGAAAGAGGGAAAGAGGGAAAGAGGGAAAGAGGGAAAGAGGGAAAGAGGGAAAGAGGGAAAGAGGGAAAGAGGGAAAGAGGGAAAGAGGGAAAGAGGGAAAAGGAAAGAGGGAAAGAAGGAAAGAGGGAAATGGGGAAATAAGGAAAGAGGGAAAGAGGGAAAGAGGGAAAGAGGGAAAGAGGGAAAGAGGGAAAGAAGGAAAGAGGGAAATGGGGAAATAAGGAAAGAGGGAAAGAGGGAAAGAGGGAAAGAGGGAAAGAGGGAAATTGAAAGAGGGAAAGAGGGAAAGAGGGAAAGAAGGAAAGAGGGAAATGGGGAAATAAGGAAAGAGGGAAAGAGGGAAAGAAGGAAAGAGGGAAATGGGGAAATAAGGAAAGAGGGAAAGAGGGAAAGAGGGAAAACAGGAAAGAGGGAAAGAAGGAAAGAGGGAAATGGGGAAATAAGGAAAGAGGGAAAGAGGGAAAGAGGGAAAGAGGGAAAGAGGGAAAGAGGGAAAGAGGGAAAGAGGGAAAGAGGGAAAGAGGGAAAGAGGGAAAGAGGGAAATATGGAAATAAGGAAATATGGAAATAAGGAAATGAGGAAAGAGGGAAAGAGGGAAAGAGGGAAAGAGGGAAAGAGGGAAAGAGGGAAAGAGGGAAAGAGGGAAAGAGGGAAAGAGGGAAATAAAACAAATTTAGGCATATTTTTGGTTTTTCATAATTACAGACTTTTAGTTTTATAAAATGTCGATAGGAGCTTCTGGATAAGTGCAAAATAACCACAACTTGTACATTTATAAATGAGTTATGGAGAATAACATATACCTTAAAGTACATCATTTTAAAGTATAAATGGTCAAAAATTGGATTTTTTGTTTCCCGGACAGTTTGAGAATTGACATAAAATTTAAACCTCACTTATATAATAGTCCGACGGTAAATTTGTGCTAACGTAACATTAATTTATAGTAAATTATAGTTGTGCAATTTGCTTATCTTACTTATAATAGTCCGACAGTAAAGTGCTAGATGCAGATGACGCTAGATGACGCTAGATGACGCTAGATGACGCTAGATGACGCTAGATGACGCTAGATGACGCTAGATGACGCTAGATGACGCTAGATGACGCTAGATGACCCTAGATGACGCTAGATGACGCTAAATTACGCTAAATTACGCTAAATTACGCTTAATGACGCTAGATGACGCTAAATGACGCTAAATGACGCTAGATGACGCTAAATTACGCTAGATGTCGAATTTCAATCAACTAAAGTTCCTCCTCCAGCACATATCTCAACACATCGTCAGTTCATTCCTCTCCTCTCAGTAGAAGAACAAGTCCTGGACCGGTCACCATAAACTCACACGGATCCCCCACATTCTCCAATAGATCCACTTCCAGATAATCGTTTCTAATAAACCTCCCTATAGGAGAGGACGGGGAGCAGAACAACCTGCTAACCACTGGGAGACTTTGGGACCGGAAACTGATCCGGCCCCCAAAGAGGGGTCAGATCACGTCACCAATTAGTGACGTATAATTAGTGATGTGATCCATGGATTGAATTTAATTGACATAGAAATGGGCTAGATCTAGGGTAGAGTTCACATGTCAAGTCTGTAAATCATAGCTGTACATTAAGAAGTAAACATGATCTGACTGCTCGACTCGTAGATCACATAAGGGACGGGAGCTCTTGCTAAAGGGGGGGGGGGGGGGGGGGGGGGGGGGGGGGGGGGGGGTTCTCGTATCAAGGATGTGAGACGTACGTGTCAAAGGCATGCAAGGGGAGTGAGCGGTTTCAGAGGATGTCAACAGGTGCTTGATTCTGACGGATATATAATCTACAGCACTATCCTGAGTTGATGGTTGTAGTGAATTATTTCGAGAAAACCTACTTAGGGTCAGCCATTGTAGACAGTGAGGTGAGGGTTCCTCCCACATATCCTTTAGAGTTCTTGAATCATTTCGCCAGTATTCTTCAGGATCCGGAGTTCCCTCGGACCTCTAACATGGTGGAGGGGTTTCACAGAGGTTTCAAAACCCGAGTGAATCGCCCAACGCCCTCTGTTCAAGAACATTTTCGTGCTATCAAGGAGCAACAGGTTGTTACAGATTATCATCTGGATCGGCTTGCTGTTGGAAAGACTCCTTCCAAAAAGAAGAGGATTTCCAGCAGTATTCTGTACGACCTTTGTTTCTTCTACACGACATACCCAACCAAGATTGAGTACTTGTTCGCTGTTGCGAAATACTTTGGTAATAATATTGAGTAATTTGTTGTATTCTGAAGTATTATATTATTAATCGATTTAACATTTTATAACCAGCCAATACATTGTCTCAATTTAAAACATTTTCACTTCTTAATTTGTAGCTTCTATGTACAGAGTTGTCATATGAACTCTACCCCAGATCTAGCCCATTTCTAGGTCAATTATATTCAATCCATGGATCACATCACGTCCCTGAACTGAATAATGTTAATATCACTCATCTCCTCTGGGCTGATGATCTTATACTTCTTGCCCTTGATCATACTGGACTACAGAAACTTCTAAACGTTTTACACAGTTACTGTATCGAATGGGGACTAACCGTTAACATCGAAAAAACGGCAGTGATGGTGTTCAACCGTTCCGGGAGGCTCCTTAAAGAGAGTCTGACATTCCAACTCGGCGAAACCAACATCACATCAGTTCGAGAATATTGCTACCTCGGGATAACCTTTACCCTCAACGGTTCTTCAGCAGTAGCACAGAACAAACTGAAGCAAAAAGGTCTCAGAAGCTACTTCGCGCTAAAAAGCAGTATTGACTTAAGACACTTCAGGCGAACAATCGTATTCAAGCTATTCGACGCGCTTGTGGTACCGATTGTGACATACGGATGTCAGGTGTGGCTCCCAGAGACTCTCTTTGTCAGAAACTATCAAGATAATATCAACACCAAATCTCTCCTGAAGGAGACTGCAAGAGATCCTCTCGAAAAGCTTCATCTCTCATTCCTCAAGTGGACCTTAGGAGTGGGCAGAAAAACCTCAAATGCGAGTGTATGGGGTGATACAGGCCGCTGCCCCCTAGTGATAAAGGCATCAAAGCAAGTATTTGGATACTTCAACCGACTTGAGCAAATGGACAGAGCTGGTTGCACAAGTCTAGCCAGACAGGCGTTCATAGAACAACGCACACTCAATCTGCCATGGTACAAAGGTATAGAAGATCTCCGACAAAGCCTTCAGTCAGTATCATCTCGCAGGTTGACCTACCCCAACCAATTCAAAACAGCACTACGTAGTACTTTTACTAACTGTTGGAACGAGGAGCGGCAAAACAACCGGAAGCTCAGTTTCTACAACACTATCAAAAGTGAATTTACAGCTGAAGCGTACCTGAACCTGCAGCTCAGTGGAGAAGAGGTGAAGCGGCTGGCGCAGTTCAGAATGAGTGCTCATAAGTTCAACATCGAGACCGGTAGATACGCCATCAACCGTGAAAATCCGCTCAGTCGCATTTGTAAGCACTGTTCTTCATCAGACCTTGAAGCTGTCGGTATACTGGCCGAACTACCAATGTTTGAGCCGATCATTGAAGATGAGAAACACGTTCTCACGGATTGTTCGCTTTACGACGACCTGAGGCGAAACATAGGTCAGCAGGCGAGAACCATGATCACCTCTGGAGCGGAGACCTTTGCCGACCTCTTCAAGGATATCCTATTGATCAGAGAAACTGCCAGATTCTTGAGTAAAGTGAACAAGCGGAGGTTCCCCCCGAGTGACAGAAAAGAAAAGGAAGGACCTACAACATGACTCACGGACTCAACATGCGAAACGTGGATCCGACTGTGTGTTATTTTTCGTGTGCGTTTCACACTTTTGATTTAGTGTGGAATTTATGTGTGGATCTTAGGCATGGACACAAAGGACTGGTTGTTCGCGTCATGAACATTCCTTTTTAGAATAGCTCGGTTTTTAAACTTTTTAGACTATAACCGTCAACCGTGTATTTTTCAGGACAGGTTTCGGTTTTTTCGTTTTTGACTTTCATTTTATCTTTATTTTTTAATATTTAGATCCGACACAATGTTTATTGTAATGATCATTTTATTTTGAAATCCTTTGAAATCCTTGAAATCCTTTTTTGAAATCCATCACTAATTATACGCCACATGCTTCAAGCTTGCATGTTAATTACTTGATGACGTATATGGTGGATCATATCACTCCGGCCCTAAAGTCTGGCAGCCCTGCTAACTGTAGATTTAGACCAGGATGAAACCGCTACAGAGTATGATTTAGAAGAGTGACTGATACAGATAATGTGATTTTTTATCTCGCGAGATTTTCAGATCTTCTTCAATTTGATTGTGTTTTGATTAAATATTTTACATTGTGGTATATGATACTGGATGTGAACCGGTTGGATTTGTTTTTTATTTTGACTCTATTACGAATTCCGATTAGATTTCAGACGCCTGAAATATATAACATTCATACTCGTGCAATAAATAAATAAATCGCTCGGTATTAGCCACAAATTGTTAATGGTAAAATACATGAAAAACTTTTCAAATTGTATAAAAATGCCTTTATGCTAATACTATCAAATCAGAATATATAAATCTACTTTTTACGTCAAATTAAATCAATTCAAATTTTGTCTCTAAAAATCTTAATACAGTGCATAAATAATAATAGAAAATTTAAAGGCACAAAATTCGTAGTAACCATTTTCAGTGTTACATATTTTTAATATCAAATTATCTCATGCAGTAGTTTCTTGATGGTTTATTTACTTTTTACAATCGGCGTGTTTAAAGTCCTTTCCATTTACAATCCTTATGTTCTCGTGGTCACCAACTTTGAATGCTTCGTCTGAAATAGAAAATGTTATGTTGAACTGAAGTAAGAAGAAGAAAGGTTAGAAAATAGAATATAGCATCTATATAATATGTTAGTTAGTTGTCATCCGGCCAAACATTAAGCAACTTATATTGCAGTACCATTTATCATTAGTATATCAAAATATGTCATTGTAATTTTGCATGGCTGAAATGTGACGCTTGATTTATATATATAATAATTAATTGAATTTTCAAATAAAATAAAAAATAGCATGTATTTACTATTATCAGTGTCGTATAAATCAAATAAAGTCGTATAAATCAAATAAAAACAAAAACTACAGAACTGTAGTGCACCAATTACCACGGGACACTGTGGCTTAAACAAACACCTCCACACCATTCGCAAATCAAGCACCAGTGCTTGTCCTATGTGCGGCGACGAAGAAGAGACTGTCTCACACTTTATTGGACAGTGTCCTGCTATTGTCCAAATAAGAGGTCAATATTCCCAGGACTATTACCTTTCCGTCAACGACATATTTGACAACCTGAACCAACACATTTCCACTATTGTCAATTTCGCAAACCGCACTAAACGCTTAATTGAGCCCTAGGGGCTGGACCAGACCGGTGTGACATAGCGACTACTCACATGTTGTCTTAGCTCATCTTCCTTTTCCACATCCAGCTGGCACTTAAGTGTTTCTTCATGACTCATCCCCCCTCATAACACTTTCCATTATCCTCCACTATACAGTGTACAGTATTTGACCAAAACCCATAATCATGGGTAGAGTGGACCGCTGCCAGTGTCTCTCTTTTCCAAACAAAAGGAAATGATATTAATTTGAATAACCGTCCGCAAATGCAAATTGATATCGAGAATAAAATCGGTCGCTCGCTTTTCCCATTCATTTACGGCTTACGAATTGTAATAAAGCTTATTGAATGGGAAAAGCGAACGACCGATTTCATTCTCGATATCAATTTGCATTTGCGGACGGTTATTCAAATTGATATCATTTCCTTGTGTTTGGAAAAGAGAGACACTGGCAGCGGTACACTCTACCCATGATTATGGGTTTTGGTCAAATATCATCTCCTTTTGATTATAATGTCAGAATAATTTGCTAAGTCGAAATGTAAACTCATAACTTCATGAATATCAATATTAATAAGGAAGTAATTTCAACAATTTTGAAATTTTACCTTTGAAAATATTTCCTTGTGTTTAGGTAAGCATATCTGTCGATAACTGACTGAATACGAAACTTTTTATGCATTCAAGTTGGCATTACATTAATATATAATGACATTTAAAATATCGTGGGTAAGCAGAATTTATTCGAAATCACGAATGAGAAAAATTCTCGCCTTTCGCACGTGCAAACTTTTAGCGGACGTTGCCTGCGCATACAATATTGAATCACCGTAAATTTTTGCATAGTGTTATTTTATATATAGTTTGATAAGCATGCAAAGTTTCATGAGAAGGTTTCAAAAAGAACTTGGATCACAACGGGACTCCAAAGTTGATAAAAATTGTGAAAACAACAATTTTCAGTGATTTTAGTAATTTTAAATCAATTTGGGCGTGTCAAAAATCAAGTTTTTAAAACGGTTTACTTGATGACTTCACCAAGTGGTAATTATGACGTTGAATTATTTTTCGTGTACCGTAAACTAAAGTCTAAACAATTATCCTCAAGACCTGTGGTCTGAAATGGCTGTATCGTTCATACTTTTGAATCTACGGACACTTGAATTACGGACTACATTTGACTACAATTGACTGCCAAAGCGTTTATACATACATCTATATACATATACTTCACGACAATCTGTTGTAAAACAGGGGTTCCATAAAACCCACTTCCCGATACTCTTGAAACATGAAATTTTTTACAGTCGATTTAGTCAGCGTCTAGACGCCCTGCAAAGTTTCAGATCTCTAACTCAATTTTAACATGGTTTTTAAGGCACCTGAATATGGCGATTTTGGGTTTTTTACCGAATTTCGTATAACATGCTGGCGCATATTTTGCGCAAATTTCTTAAAAACCTCCACATTACTATTTCTTATTCCTGTCATCTTTAACATTGAATTAGAATGTTTTGAGCTTAAATATACCTACTGAACTACTTTCGATGAGTCTTAATGCCTGAAAAACAATAAAGGGGTATAATAGTATAAGGGGTAAATAGTATTGTGAATATAAGGGCGACGGTAATGCTTGCCAGCATTGTGATACACTTTGAATTCTCCGGCATCCTCCCCTATAGGACTACCATACCCCAGAGGTAGGCAAAGCATCCACATGCTTGATGATATCCTCTCGGGAAGAAAGTTAAAGTTCCAACAAACAATTTCGAGAAGAAAGTTAAAGTTCTGACTTAAAGCTTTAAAGTATGCAAAAAATTTAAAGCTCTTGTAAACTCACCACAGACATAGCAGTTCACACAGGCATGATGAAAGGAACTCTCTTTGTAGATTAGACTAGTGCCAGCGATAGGTTTACTGCACACCGCACATTTGCTACGAAAGTGATCGTTGTTGCAGCCCATGCATACTGGGTTACCTGTTGTTGTTTTAATCAATTACTATTATTAATCATTATTATTAGAGGTCTTTAATAAACTAGTTTAATTTTAAATTGTTGTTGAATATTTTCACCTCACCTTTAAGAACCGCTGATCTGCAGCTCATCTGACATGGTTAGTACCTGACACTTGTGTCAGTTGCTAACCATATGGGCGGTATAATGCAAGCATATCATTTCAAGAAGTATGAAATGTTCTTGCTTCTATTTTACTATTTAAGAGAATTTTTCGAATTATAAGTAAGATGAGAAATGGAGAAATCATCGATTATAGCACGGCAACATTTTTCTGATTAGACGTTTCTACTATTATTATTTGTATTAAACTTATAAATTGTGAAAAAATAAAAACCTACCGAGGTTAGTAAGAAACTGTTCCTTAGAATCAATCTTCCTATCACAGTGAGAACACTTGAAACAGTCATGGTGCCAGTGTTTGTTCAGGGCCACTACCCACGCTGACTCTATTTCTTTTTCGCATCCTGCACACACCTTCTCCCTGTACATTGGTAAATTAGTTTTAAATTGTTAGTTTAAAACTTTAAAATATACTGATTTTAAATACTAATTTTACCACGACAAATAGTTTTATCCTTAACCGTTTTGGCGTCTTGCGTAGCATAAATAGTAAATTTAACATAGTTACAGATAAGTATTAGTTCATCAAATTCCGACGAGATATCAAAAATTCGGAATGACACTGTGTTAATAGTCAACTGATAAATAGAAACCAATGAAGGGGTTTGAAACCAATTAACAGATCAATATCCTTCACGATGAATTAAAAATTGATGTGCAGCATTATTTAGAAATATTATATAAAATATGTACATACTTGACATCAAGACCAGCAACTCCTTTGGTAACCTTACAATCGCCACATTTTGGAACATGTTTACCGTCAACTTCCACCTGGAACATACGAAATTAAGTTAATTAATTGATCAATTAATTAACTTAATATAATTTAATTGGATTCAATCAAATGACGAGTCAGAGAGTAAAGCGATCTCTACAAATTTAACTTTTAAACATGGCCTTAGTGCCTTTCATTGCAAAATGAGGGGCAGCCTTACATATTGCTATGTAGTCAGGGTTTAAACTGACTAAACCAGGTTAAAACATTCCCATACCAACACACAGTGAATAATACACAGTACACAGTACACAAAAAAGGTTGTATCATACCTTGAAGAACTTTTCCTTAGGGTCAATAACTCTGGTGCACTCAGTACACTTGAAGCAGCTGGAGTGCCAAGTGTTACCTAGCCCTATAACCCACGCCTTGTCTATTGCCTCCCCACACCCTTGACAAGTCCTGGGGGAGTAGTAGTTACTTAGTTACCTAGCAACTGTAACCTAGCAACTGTAACCTAGCAACTGTAACCTAGCAACTGTAACCTAGCAACTGTAACCTAGCAACTGTAACCTAGCAACTGTAACCTAGCAACTGTAACCTAGCAACTGTAACCTAGCAACTGTAACCTAGCAACTGTAACCTAGCAACTGTAACCTAGCAACTGTAACCTAGCAACTGTAACCTAGCAACTGTAACCTAGCAACTGTAACCTAGCAACTGTAACCTAGCAACTGTAACCTAGCAACTGTAACCTAGCAACTGTAACCTAGCAACTGTATCCTAGCAACTGTAACCTAGCAACTGTAACCTAGCAACTGTAACCTAGCAACTGTAACCTAGCAACTGTAACCTAGCAACTGTAACATAGCAACTGTAACATAGCAACTGTAACCTAGCAACTGTAACCTAGCAACTGTAACCTAGCAACTGTAACCTAGCAACTGTAACCTAGCAACTGTAACCTAGCAACTGTAACCTAGCAACTGTAACCTAGCAACTGTAACCTAGCAACTGTAACATAGCAACTGTAACATAGCAACTGTAACCTAGCAACTGTAACCTAGCAACTGTAACCTAGCAACTGTATCCTAGCAACTGTAACCTAGCAACTGTAACCTAGCAACTGTAACCTAGCAACTGTAACACAGCAACTGTAACCTAGCAACTGTAACCTAGCAACTGTAAACTAGCAACTATAACCTAGCAACTGTAATCTAGCAACTGTAACCTAGCAACTGTAACCTAGCAACTGTAATCTAGCAACTGTAACATAGCAACTGTAACATAGCAACTGTAACCTAGCAACTGTAACCTAGCAACTGTAATCTAGCAACTGTAACCTAGCAACTGTAACCTAGCAACTGTAATCTAGCAACTGTAACCTAGCAACTGTAACCTAGCAACTGTAACCTAGCAACTGTAACCTAGCAACTGTAATCTAGCAACTGTATCCTAGCAACTGTAACCTAGCAACTGTAATCTAGCAACTGTATCCTAGCAACTGTAACCTAGCAACTGTAACCTAGCAACTGTAACCTAGCAACTGTAACCTAGCAACTGTAATCTAGCAACTGTAACCTAGCAACTGTAACCTAGCAACTGTAACCTAGCAACTGTAACCTAGCAACTGTAATCTAGCAACTGTATCCTAGCAACTGTAACCTAGCAACTGTAACCTAGCAACTGTAATCTAGCAACTGTAATCTAGCAACTGTAACCTAGCAACTATAACCTAGCAACTGTAATCTAGCAACTGTATCCTAGCAACTGTAATCTAGCAACTGTATCCTAGCAACTGTAACCTAGTAACTGTAATCTAGCAACTGTAACCTAGCAACTGTAACCTAGCAACTGTAACCTAGCAATTGTATCCTAGCAACTGTAACCTAGCAACTGTATCCTAGCAACTGTAACCTAGCAACTGTAAACTAGCAACTATAACCTAGCAACTGTAACCTAGCAACTGTAACCTAGCAACTGTATCCTAGCAACTGTAACCTAGCAACTGTAACCTAGCAACTGTAACCTAGCAACTGTAACCTAGCAACTGTAACCTAGCAACTGTAACCTAGCAACTGTAACCTAGCAACTGTAACCTAGCAACTGTAACCTAGCAACTGTAATCTAGCAACTGTAACCTAGCAACTGTAACCTAGCAACTGTAACCTAGCAACTGTAACCTAGCAACTGTAATCTAGCAACTGTAACCTAGCAACTGTAACCTAGCAAGTTATCAGAAACACAGAACATTGCTGTGCTTGTTTACAGTTTTTAGTAACAATCTTATTAATATGAAGGATGGATCCTATATATAAAATCGACCAACAACAAATAGACGATAACATTAGTAGCAGCTATATAGCAACTGTAACCTAGCAACTAGATAACATTAGTAGCAGCTATTAGAAAACTAGTAGTAGCAGCTATATATATATTAGCAACTGTAACCTAGCAACTAGATAACATTAGTAGCAGCTATTAGAAAACTAGTAGTAGCAGCTATATATATATTAGCAACTGTAACCTAGCAACTAGATAACATTAGTAGCAGCTATTAGAAAACTCGGACTGAAAAAGAACCAGGTATGCAAAGATAACATTATCAACATAAATTTATAAATTTATAAATTTATAAATTTATAAATTTATAAATTTATTAATTTATTAATTTATAAATTTATAAATTTATAAATTTATAAATTTATAAATCAACATATCAACATATATATTACGAATAGCTTACTTGGATTCTCCGATAGAAGGATCGTCTTTTTTAGCGCAGTCTACACAGGTTCTCACACCTGGGGGTGAAGTTATTTTAATCACTTAATGAGAAGAGAAGGTTAGTTGTTACTTCTTTAGAGAATCAATCCTGGTTTATTTTGGGGAATTTTTAAATGGGCATCGATAAAATTTGATTGAGCACTTTAAGTTTAATGGGTGAAAATTTCGATGGAAATTTAAGACTTTTATTATTTATATGTGCACCTCTAATAAACCCATTGCAAATAAAAAGGAAAAACGCATTGTTTGACTGATAAACTAGTACCTTCATTAAATTTGTAAGGTAATTAAACTTAAAATTATTATTTACATTGTATTAACTTATTAATATTCATAACATAAAAGAATTATTCATCAGTATACCTCCGTTATGTTTAAGTGACTCATGAGCCCCAATCATCCGGTGGCACTTATGGCACGTAAAACACTCCTTATGGTATTTAGCCTTAGAGAAGAGTATCCAGGTTTTGTCTGTTATCTTGGTGAAGCAGGCCGGACACGTGGCCGATGACATGATGCAGCGATTACTCTATATACAAACGTATGCTATTAGTGTAGGGCTGAAATGTGCTTTAAATATAGATTAGATAGGAACTCAAGAAATTGCAAAGTCAAGAAATTGAGAAAACAACAAAAGTACAGTAATATAATGATGAGACAAACAAAGCACAAATAAAGCACAAATAAAGCCCAAACAAAGCACAAATAAAGCACAAACAAAGCACGTGCAACCTGCGTCAGAGCCTTGAGTATCCACGTGAGATTGTCGCACACGTGGAAGAGGACATTCGAGGAGGAGACATTATTAGAAGAGGACATTTATAGTCATTACTCTTTTTTACCTAGTTCAAGGCTTGTAAGAGTCTACATATTTCGCAGCATTTGTAGGATCATAACATAGTTTTAAAAACTATTTCTAATTGATATGGTTCAGCGAGACTCCCAATAAACTCAAACAGAGCCTTTTGATATTTATATCCTTATTTATAGCTTAGTAAGTTAAATTGCATTCCTACGCAAATGTTAAAGAGGCCCCTTCCAGCCATTGCCACTGCGAATTTAACCTAAAACCTGCCCAGTTAATAGCGAAGACTGCGAAATTACCACTCCTGCCTAGTAATCTAATTTACCCTGTCCAGATCAGCAGTATATTACACTAAATCCGCAGGTTTTCTCTTAATTTTTAATGTCAAAACCTGCCTAATTAACTAGTGATCCTGCATCAACAGCGCAGGTATTTGTTATTTGGCAGGTTTTCTATTAACTTGGCAGGATTTGCTATAAAATTATCAATCCTTTCCGGATGGATTACGGCAGTGATAAAGTTAAATCGGCAGGTTTTCCATTAACTTGGCAGGATTTTTTATAAAATTATCAATCCTTGCCGGATAGATTACGGCAGTGATAAAGTTAAATCGGCAGGTTTTCCATTAACTTTGCAGGATTTGTTATAAAATTATCAATCCATGCCAAATAGATTATAATACTATAATCTTATTATGGCAGCGTTAAATTTATAAATTGGCAGGTTTCTTTTATCTTTCTTTTAAGTTCTTAAGTTATTTGGAATTTTGCTTATTTGGCACCAAAACTAAAATTCAATAAAACCGAGTTGATTAGCGCAGTCAAGAAATTGGCCGGAGTTGATAAAAAGCTGACAACCATGGCACTGAATCTCTATATACTTATATAGTACGGTACCGCAACAATTGACCCCCTCCCCCCCCCCCCCCCCCCCCCCTCCGACAAATGACCCCCTGATGCAATCTACCCCCGACAATTGACCCCCCATGTAATTACACTGGGGTCAATTCAGGGTTAGGGTAAGGGTTAGGGTTAGGGTCAGGGTTAGGGTCAGGGTTAGGGTCAGGGTTAGGGTCAGGGTTAGGGTCAGGGTCAGGGTCAGGGTTAGGGTCAGGGTCAGGGTTAGGGTTAGGGTTAGGGTTAGGGTTAGGGTTAGGGTTAGGGTCAGGGTCAGGGTTAGGGTCAGGGTTAGGGTTACTGGGTAACACGACTCCTGTCAGCGACATCTGTCCGACAGCGACATCTGTCCGACTCAGGGTACCAGAAAAAACGACATTTGTCCGAAATTTTGATCTGATTTCAATACAACACATTTCCAATTAGAGACGTGATCTGAACTGTTAATTTGAATACGTAACATTGCCAATTTGAGATATGATCTGAGCCATAGTGTACTACTAGTTTATTTTCGACCTAGGCAGGCAGGCATGAAGCAACTGCGTTGTGAATGGCGAGCTCGTAGTCCATGAGAATTGAGAATGTATTGTGGTTGGTAGCCCCAAGGCCTCAGTAGCCCAGGTGTCTATGTCCTCGAACATGTTGCGGTAGAGGGTCGTCGATTTTCCAGGAATGAGTCCTTAGAAGAGGGGGAGGTGCCAGCCGTCAGGGAAGAGTCCGTGGACTGTGAAGAGCTGATGGAAGAGATTAGGTGCGGATTTGAAGGTACCGTTGGGCGTTGACTACGCAATGCTCCGCGTCCACCATATGATCTGCGTTCTTAGGAGTCCCCCAAAGGAATGATCGACGAGTCTATTCGTCCCATCCAGAGTCCCAGAGCATCATTGGACTGTCGTCGGTAGAGAGGATTTAGTTTGCAGGAATGGATAGCGTTTCCAGATCTCTCGGGTCTGTTTGCTGCAGATCTGGGTCTGTTTACTGAAGATTGGTTGCCATTGTGAATTGCGATAACTGATCTCCATACGGCTGCTATCCTATATGTACTCATGTAGGCTGTGTCCTGTGATGTGATCGACAGCTTGTTAGTGTACGGCTAGCACAATCCTGTCCTTAAATAGTCAATCACGTATCGATGGATCAGATCTCAATGGATCAAATCAGCATTCGAACAATGGGAGCAACGTCACGAAATTACCCGTGAGTTTGTGAAATACGAATGTGAACCGAAATTACAATATGATCCGAAATTCGGACAGATGTCGCCAAAAACGACTCCTGTCCGACAGCGAAATCTGTCCGAAATCCCCAATTCGGCTGTCGGACAGATGTCGCTGTCGGACAGATGTCGCCCAATCGGGTTACTGTTAGGGTTAGTATAATAAATATATTTGTTTGGTCAATTGTCGGGGGGGGGGGGGGGGGTCAATTTTCAAGTATTATATCACTTGCACCGTTTAGCTCCACGTGGTTTCTTAAGCTTAAATACTTAACTGTCCTGTCAAGATAAAGTAAATCACTATCACCTCTCATTCTTAATAAGTTAGTAAGCAAGCATCTGATCATTTTAAAACAGTCACCTCCCAATTTAGCAAGTTCTTACATCTATATTACAGTCTACACCCTTCAATAATGGGATAATATGTTTGGCCGGTAGAGGGTCCGCAGTAGTCCCATTACAGCATTACCTCATTACCTTAGCATTGCTGTACAGTCTACAACTACTATAAGAGTATAAGATATACATCCTTCACCAAAACTGGTTTGTCCGCTTTCTATTACTAATTTTCCGCTGAAAGTGCCACATCAGTGATCAATTAATATTGGTAAATAGCAATAATTTGAGTTATAGGTTGACCTCCCACTTAGAGCATATGTGGGAGGTCAACCTATAAATTATAGTACGAGCTATTTCCAATTCGTGAATACGAATTTCGATTAAGGTCCAACTTATTAAGTGTCACTTTAACGTGTGACAAATTTCCGATCAAATATCTCATAATCTGAAAATAACTGCATATTTAGAACTATTATATTAATTGTAATTGAAGATTCTTTCAGAATCACTTCATTCACTAAATCTTACAATGTGAACAATGAACAGGTAGAGGCACTGCAACTGAAAAAGTGCTGTCCTCACTACTTAAGTACATAGCAATCTAATCTAAAAATGGCAACCTAAGAACTGAAGTTAAGCAAACAGTTATTTTCCAATAATCGGATTTTATACATACTTTTATACTCAAACTTATCATAGACCCCGTGTTGGTAACAGTGGATAATATGCAGTGGCGAAACGTACCTAAGAGGCCGCAGCTGCACCCCCCCCCCCCCCCCCCCCCCCCATCCCCTTCCGCATAGCAGGGGTTGCCGGAGTGTCGGGCGGTCGTTTCGCCACTGACTAGTGACTGCATGTATAAAAGTATAATCTATAGAGCCATGTAGGCATGTACCTAGCATTCTGTACTTCTGTAGCTTTGCACAAACCAAGTCTCAGTCCTACACCCTACCTAGTAATAAGGTTATACGATCATTACAGTATTCCACATTGTACACTCAAATTATCCAAAACCCCTGCCAATATAGGTTTAATCACGCCACAAGTTGATTCAAATTATCTCAACTTACGCAGGAATTGCGTTAAATCTGCAGCATTCGACTTTATATTTAACGGAAAACCTGCCAAAATAGAGCAAACCTGCCGAGAGTAGGTGAAAGGTGAGGCAGGTTTTGTGTTAATTTTGCAGGCTTTTCTATAAATCAACAACTCGATTAAATAATTAAATCTCTGCACGAATACGATAAATAGGCAGGTTTTCGGTTAATTTTGCAGGAATCATTTTAAGACTTCAAATTGATTATCAGTCTTAATGTAAAACCTGCCAAATTAGGTGGCAGGTGGCAATGGCTGGAAGGGGCCTTTAAAGGTTCACATGATTCACAACCTAATGAAATTGAGTAGAGATTTAAAAAGTAAGAAACTAAGAAATGATAACAATAAAGTGAGCAAGAAAATCCATGATGACGAGACAAACAATGTCCGTTTACAGTTTACACTCGCAAGGAGGAGGACAGATGTTAACATTAACCAGAAACCCTGGTTTTAACAAGTTTTAACAGGTTCTACTACTGACGCTCGGAGTACAGCTGTCGAGTACTGTTGACTGTTGAGTACTTCAGCACTCGACAGCTGTACTGCAGTTGTGCAGTGAAACTGTGGCTGTATAATAGGGTGATTAATAATAATTAGCACTCATTATATTCTAATAATAGGGTGATTAGTAACAATCTAGTAATAATGTAATAATGTAATAATGTTAACTGCTAGGAGCTGCAGTTAACATTAACCAGCAACTTTGGTGTCTAACGTATTTTAACAAGAGACGTTAGGAGAAAGCAGCGAAGATAGTTGAAAGATTGGCAGAATAAAGTGCCGAGTACTTACTAATAAACAATCTACGATAAAACTGTGTGTCTACCCATACAATTATAACAAGATGTAGACGTAAGCCACGTAAAGGTAAATATTCACGAGCAACAGCTTTGTTTAACCATCTTTAACACGGTCAGACACATCTCTGATCAGCACTTGTCAGAAACATCTCTGAGCAGCATTAACAGAGCTGCTGGAGCCTGGAAGCGTGACAGAATGGACTTTTAACTTATTAAGTAGGTATAGCACTCATCAACACGTGTTATTTGTCACGTGTTATTTGTCACGTGTTATTTGTCGGTGGTGAAGTAGGAGTTAGTGACCTCTTATTTCTCCGGTTCAACGCGAAAGTAACAAGGCGAGAATAAGTAGTGCTGAGAAAGAATAGACGAGACTAAGCTGCCTAGAATAATCTAAAAATAAATCGTCACGTGTCACATGTTTTATAATTCCTCAGTTGTGCGGCGAGAAACAGAAGCAGCAACGCTAAGGAAAAATAAAACCAACCGTATTATATACAACCACTAAAAGTGTGCGTATGTGATGTATATATTAAATAATATATATCAGCAATATATTGGAGAATCTTAGGGCTTTAATTGGGACAAAGGAGTCTGACAAGTGAGCCAGACATATCAACTGTAACCTAGCAACTGTAACCTAGCAACTGTAACCTAGCAACTTATCAAACTGTAACATTGGGTTGTCTGGCTCAGCGAGGTATTGACATTGGTCAGTAGCAACGTGTGCAAAGGGAGGGGTACAAAAGATATACAACAAGAGCTATAATATAGCAGTAGAAGGGCTTTCTAGCAACTTTTAATCAGGTTAGAAAAAGCAGGGAACAATTATAGACTGAAACAAGAATCTGAAAATAAACAATAGACGCCTATAAATATGCGGCTCCCAGACATTTGTCGAGGAAGTACTAGGGGTGGAGCCAATACAGAAGAGCTATATAATAACATCTAATCGAGGACTTGTCACCAAGTTATTGACAGGTAGGGAGCAGTATCCCTATAATCCTAGCAACCAGGGCGCAACCAGGGAGCAATGAACATAGCATCCCTACAATCCTAGCAACCAGGGCGCAACCAAGGAGCAATGAACATAGCATCCCTACAATCCTAGCAACCAGGGCGCAACCAAGGAGCAATGAACATAGCATCCCTACAATCCTAGCAACCAGGGCGCAACCAAGGAGCAATGAACATAGCATCCCTACAATCCTAGCAACCAGGGCGCAACCAAGGAGCAATGAACATAGCATCCCTACAATCCTAGCAACCAGGGCGCAACCAGGGAGCAATGAACATAGCATCCCTACAATCCTAGAGCAACCAAGGCGCAACCAAGGAGCAATGAACATAGCATCCCTACAATCCTAGCAACCAGGGCGCAACCAGGGAGCAATGAACATAGCATCCCTACAATCCTAGCAACCAGGGCGCAACCAAGGAGCAATGAACATAGCATCCCTACAATCCTAGCAACCAGGGCGCAACCAGGGAGCAATGAACATAGCATCCCTACAATCCTAGCAACCAGGGCGCAACCAAGGAGCAATGAACATAGCATCCCTACAATCCTTAGCAGGGGTAATACTGAGCTAGCGGCGATTTTGTGAGTTCCTAACTACTGAGTCTAAAACTAGTACTACGTTTTTAATGAAACTTATAGCTATAATTCCTTGGAAGCTAATTGGTCATGAGAAATCTGAATTTAAGATCACTTTGTTTTTAACAATGCAAATTTTATGTAAAATAGTAACATTAGTATGACGACGGGTTTACTACTACTACTACTATTACATATGAAATATCAATAGGAAACCACAGGTAAAAGAAAACTCGCTTATTGGGTCATAAAATGTCGACAGAAACATGGCTTGTTTTACTGGAGTACGTGATGCTAGTGCCATTAGCTAATAGATATTATTAATGACACAAATATGTCACACTAATGTGACATCACCTGACAGACATTATCGGGCTCTCATACCCATTATGCTGAGTATCCTCGTTATTGGTACGTACTAAGTTCAGTCAACAGCTGTGCAACAGACTAATCACGAGATTCTTATTGTCCTAGCGAATTGTCGTTCGATTTTATGAAGCTTAAAACGTAAGAGTAACGGTTTAAGTAACGTTTAGGTAAAGTAGCGTCTCGTCAGTTGATGAATTATAAATATAAGCAGCCAAACAAAACAGAATAAGGAAACAGAAAGATCCAGTATCCACAACACGACGTCAAAAACGAAACAAACTCATAACAAATTCTACAACATGACCTAAAAAATAAAATAAAACAAACTCATAACAAAATCTACGACAAGACCTTAAAAACAAAACAAACTCATAACAAATTCTACAACACGATCGAGCACTCAGCACTCAGCACAACCTAGCTTTGTGAAGCATGTAAAGGATTGTCTGAATGACTGACCCGTGTAGGAGCTAATCAAGAGAACTACACGTTACCCACCACACATAATGTTATGACACGATCATTCATGTAATTTCATGAAATCATACCTTTATAAATAACACGTGACGTACATAATATGTCACGTGACGTATGTTTTGTGTGACGTGTGTTACATATTTAATATTTATGTCACATAATGTCTTGTATGACATTCACCCCAGTCTCCTAATAAGTTACAGCTATACGCGACAAATATTTGTAGTGTGGAGATCTTGGGAATTCTTAATATGCTGGTGATGCCATAAATATGTTAAATATGTTAAATATGGTATGTAAGATCCTTATTGCGTAATAAGTCAATAAACGACTTTGTTAAATTCAGACTTCTATTCAAATCAAATCACAAATTTTATGCATCAACATGTTCACGATTTTTAGTCCAATATGAAATAATTGAGTGAAATCGAAAAGAGAAAGATCACCAAATCATGTTTATATTTTAATTTATTCAGTATTTTCTAGATTGGGATAAATCCAGCGAAATAACTTTAATATTAATAAACCAACTTTTATTTCAAATCACGGAATTCCCAAAATCATTTCTAATTCACTCGAATTTGATACAACATTTTTTGAATTACTAAACTATGTCTGTGAGAGTCTCTAAGTTTCGATGGAGAATGTTAGGACATATCTTAAGAGGACAGGAAGACTCACCAGCATACACCTCTATGTTATTTGCTATAAATTCTGATATTTTTATGGAAGGGAGACGGGGTAGACCATGTTTAAACTTATTAGATGTTATTAGAAAAGACTTGACTAGAAGAAATCTTGATATTAGACTTAAGAATTTGACTGATTTCGAAGACCTTAGATTTTTAGCTTTAGATAGGGAGGAGTGGAAGAAGTTAGAAGATGGTTGATGTTTTTGTTTTCTTTTTTATGCGTTTTGATATCTATAAGGTGCCTAGGATGCTCTTTTAAAGAGATATTTCGTACTTTGAAAGATTTACTACTACTACTACTAAACTACCAATAAGTTTAGCCTGTCGCCCTTAAAAGACTTTGAGGCAATGCAAGCCATAGTATAGCATTCACTAATGTGTAATAACAAGTATCCAATGCATGGATACTATCCATCAAAAAAGGTAGGGTAAATTTTTGAAATACCATTGAAACCTTACTTGAACTTACATTAACTTTAAGATTTATTTATTATTTATTTATTTACTAAATGTGCGTCATGACACAGCCATAAAACTACCTTACTTTATGTTACAGTTATAAAACTGTGTAATGTCGGAATGTGGTGAATGATTATCGGCGTTTTAAGTTTACAATTTGAAGACCTCGCCTATATCTCATGACGTGTTAGCGTGTTAATAATACCTGACAACTATAACAAGCTATGAGAGTATGAGGTATTTGACACATTTTTATGACCTCATATTATACTTACTTATAACTTTGTTATTTTTTTATTAAATTTCTGAGTTTTAGATTGTTAAAAAGTTTGTACGGCTTAATTTACCTTCCATATACGTGCAATAAACGATAATACAACGTCACACACATATGTGATTTATTAAAATTTAGTTGCATTTTATATTTAAATGAATAAGTATAACAACACTGAGCAGCACATCAAGAATTACAGAAATAAAACATTTGATCAAACATTCAAACCAAACACCAAACACCAAACACCAAAATTAAACTATTAAATGATAAAATCTACTGAAGAACTTACCCTTATCAAAGAAGAAAGACTTCTTAGAGTCAATGGGCATTTTACAGGAGTCACAACTGAAACAGTACCTGTGCCACTTCTGGTCGAGCGCTACCACCCACTTCATACCTGCCACAACATATGTCATTTTAATTTAATCTGTATCACTATCAAATTGGTATCAAATTTATTTTATGAGTAGTATTGAAAGTACGTACAAATAAAACTAAAAACTGAAAAAATAAAAGTATTAAAGCTTAAAAGTATTAAAACATTAAATTAATAAAACTTTATACCTATAGGTTTAGAGCACCCTGCACAAAGTGTTTCTCCTTTTGTAGACTTCTCAGCCATATTCAGGGTTCCGTTCCCAGCTGTGGAATTATGATTTAATAAATCGCGTTAAAATGTACTTAAATTCGAGTTATTCAATATTTGCTTTAGATTAGAAGATCATTATAACTTTTCAGCAGTTTGGGGTGGCCAGCCAATTGTGGTAAAAAGTTTCGAACCGACAAATATGGTGGCTGCAGAAATATAAAGAAAAAACAGTTTCTTCAAAAAGCCGAAAGCAGACCCGGAATCAAACACATATATATTTATATATATATATTATGTGTATATTAATATATAATACTGCCACTGACAATATGTGAACTAAAATGAGGAACAAACATGCGAACTTTGAGAAGTCACATAAATATGCAGATCTTTTATTTCTAGAATCTCACAAATCAACATCGGTTGTGATTAGTGACTGTCATATGAGGTGGTAATATTTTAATAAAAAGCTTTATCAAATTTAAGTTATACATAAAAAAGTAGGATATAACAAAAAAGAAATTTAAAAAAGAAAAGACAAAAATTACAGCCATCAAATAACACATAAATATTCATAAACTGTTGTGTTGATATAAAGATATATTCATAAGTGGTGAAGTGAGAAACAGAATGATGTAAGGGAAGGTGGTACCAGCGATCAAGTTACACGGGTTAAATGTCGTAACTGAGGCTTACAGGGATTAAACAAACTGCCATCTGAGGACCGTTTCGCTGACAACGAACACACGTGTGATGTATAGGATTAAATAAGTCATGTTGAGACGGCTGACGGCTACAAATTCTTTGTTGCATCAAAATGGTCAATCTGGTTATTAAGATCATGCGGCAGACATAAATTAGCTTTATTCCGAATATCCACAAACATATAAACAGTAAGAATGCACAGATAATTCCATTAACAAACTCACACCAGCATGATGCTAAGTGCAGTTGAACGACAAAAGGGCAACAAAATGAAATCAACTCAGCACCACGCAATACACTGACAAATAATAAAACCTCCTCTGCGTTATTTAAACAATACCCATATATTAATATAATATAATAATATATTATGATATACCCCATACTGTATTGTACACTGATTTACCCTGGACTCTATTCAAACGGAGATCGATTTACGTCGGAGATCGATTTACGTCGCCATGGCAATGGTATAAGAGCTCGTGTTTATAACCTAACGTACTCATATCCAATAAGGTATAGTCTGTAACGAACAGGAACGAGAAACCCAGCTGTGATATAATGCCACTGCGCAGTCACAAACTTGACAAATGAGATGTGTTACGCCTGGGTGGCTGACTCGGTAGATTTATAAAATGCATCTGATTTGTGACTTGATATCTGATGTCAACTGGTCACTTTGTTACTCGTGTTAATAGGAAACCGTGTTAGCGAATCAACAAGGGAGGGAGAGAATTAAGTTTCAACTGGACTGATCGCGCTAGGTGCTATATATTAATATATTCGTTGTTTAAATTATATTATGGATAATATTATGAAGGAGCAGCTCCGTTATTTGATACCGATAAATATGATTTGTCAGATCCCTGTAATGGTCATGGATCAGTTAAAAACGACAGCTATTCAAGGTATTAAAGGTATTAAAGATATGATGAGATACAACAATGGGGCAAGGTCTCTATGTTTCGAACCTTGGAGTTGGAACATTAGAGATATTACATTACACACCTGGTGCCTCCCGACATCTTCCTGACCAATCAGAGGGAGGGTAACCGATCACGTGACCATTACCCGACCAATCAGAGGGCTGGACAATAGGAATTCTTCTGGTGGCGTAAGTGGCTGTTCGGGGGAGCACTTTTCAGAGGGGTTTATTACTACTTTACTAGATGTCAGGTGGTCAGGGGAGGAAAAGAATGTTGGAATGTTGGATATAGATTGAACAGACGGTCCTATGTTTGAACTACTTAATAGATTGAGGCCCTGGATCGGAAAGACTGAAAGAAAAATAAAAAATACTCAGAAATAAAGGTTGCTATTATAAGTATAGGGCTGTTACCTTATCGGACCTTATTTGGACGGACATTAAATGAACGGACATAATTATAAACGGACATTAATATGAACGCTAGAAGGCATTCAAAGCCATCAAAATTAAAAATCCGAATTCTTTTTTTTTTTTTTTACGTTTTTTTATTTCAGCAAATGATTTTTAAATCCATTTTTTATACAGTAAGTAAGAAAAGCAGTCGTTCAGCAGTAAACATTTAAAAATATGTGTACATGACCAGTGTCTAATATCACATATCATTTTCATCAAATGGGGTTTCGTGCATGAAATACTAAATAGTCCATGCTTAATTAAAGCATCAGTGATTTATAGCTTTATATGGAAACCTTTTTTCTTCAAACTACCCCAGTCCTGCATTTCAGTGTTAACTTTTACAAGCCATTCGGCGTGAAGTGGTTTTATCTTAGACAACTTTAGGTTAACCTTAACATCACGTGGAGCTTTCCTAGCACAGTTTCATTACCTCCCCTGAGTAATATGAACTATATCAACGTCGGACAATGTCCTTGGAAACACGATTAACCGTAATATCTAGAGGCTAGAACAAGTTTGTCATGTTGGCGGGGACTAGCTCATGAACTATGTCATTGAGTACCGTAATTTCGTTGACTTTTTTCGCCAAGTGACCCTTGAAAACATCATATACCAGTAAAGTTTTCTGTTCCTCCGGCAGACCAAGGAGAACCGTTCCGTTGTAAACTTAATACGGCACAATAAAGTTCTCATAGTTGTCATATTCTGGACGAAAAGTTAGAATTTTTGAAAAAATTTCAACGGACTTTAACTTGGACGGACCTTAAATGAACGGACTTTATTTGGATAATGGATTGGGCGACATCTGTCCGACAGCGACATCTGTCCGACATCTGTCGGACAGATGTCGCTGTCGGACAGGAGTCGTTTTTGGCGACATCTGTCCGAATTTCATATCATATTGTAATTTCGGTTCACATTCGTATTTCACAAGCTCACGGGTAATCTCGTGACGTTCTAATGCTAATGTGATCCCTTAATATCTGATCCATGGATACGTCATTGACTAGTTGAGAACAGGATCGTGCTAGCCGTACCCTACTAACAAGCTGTCGATCACATCACAGGACATGAGTATATATAGGACAGCAGTATGGAGAACAGTTATCACAATCCACAATGGGGTAGTCTACGGTACCTTCAATTCCGCACCTAATCTCTTCCATCAGCTCTTCACAGTCGGCTGGCACCTCCCCCTGTTCTATGGACTCCTTCCTGGAAAAACGACGACCCTCTACTGCAACATGTTCGAGGAGATGGGGGCTACCAACCACAATCCATCCTCATGGACTACGAGCTCGCCATTCACAACGCAGTTGCTTCCGTATGGCCCTCCACTACCAGACGTGGATACAACTTCCACTACAAGAAAGCCCTCCTGAAGCATGTTAACCATACCAACATCTGGGAGGAGTATCTGACTCCAAACTCTCCTGTTCCGGATTTCTTTTTTTCTCGATTGCCTACGTACCGGAGAATGACGTCCATCTGGAGACACCTGAAGCCCCTCCTTCCTATAGACATGGCTGAGTTTGCTTCATACTACGAAAACACTTGGATCGGGACATCAACCACCAATATTGGCATCACGGATTCCATTCAATGCTCTCCTGCTCGAAGCCCACAATCTGGAAGTTCCTTGATCGCCTTAAAGCAGAAAAAGCCCTTACAGACGTGAAGAAAACCAATCTGTGATATTGTAATTTATTGAATTAATTTATATAACATTTATATAACATTTAAACTATTGTCCAATTTATCGACATCAAATGAAAATAAACTATGGTAGTAAACTATGGCTCAGATACATACTATACAACTTAGCAAGTAACAGTTCAGATCATGTCTCTAATTGGAAATGTGTCGTATTGAAATCAGTTCACAATTTCAATTTCGGACAGATGTCGTTTTTTTCTGGTACCCTGAATCGGAAAAATGTCGCTGTCAGACGGTAATCGTACTATATAGTGACAACACTATATAGAGACAATCACTTTATAATGACAGCTGATCTTTGTCATTATATAGTGTGCAAAACGCACACTATATAGTGACTTTTATCTTATATATATCGACTTTTCCTTACTTTTCTTTAATTCTACTTTTAGAATACTACTAAAGCAAATAATTTCATTTAAGTAAAATGTATAACTGTCATAGAAATATAGTACAATCGAAAATGTAAATATCAATATCATATAAAATCCCAATATCATAAAACCGATAATATCAATAATCAAATGTCGAATTCATAGTGCAGCAGAAACAGCAGAGAGATAATCAATGACTTCGTACTCCTGGTTATCGTAGGCTTGCATGAAGGATTCCAGAAGGGAGTCGTACCCAGACGTGGGCGCCGCCGCCGGTACGCCGCCGCCGCCGATAAATTCGACACGCCGCCGCCGCCGATAAATTTCGATCGGCGCGCCGAATGTAAAATTTTTGCCTAAACAGTTAAAAAAATGAGTGACACGCAACAGATAATTTAATTTACGCAACGGATAAATTAATTTGGCCAGCCTCCAAGTCTTGACGTATTCGGGTGTTACAAAAGAATTTGAAACTACATTTCGTAACATCAGTTGTGCCGTTATCGTAGCCAAATATCTGCTTGTTGCTGAACAGAGTATAAATAGTTGCTCTTTCAAATCGTCATACAATTTTGAAATGAACCTTAGCATACAAAGTGTAAATTAGCTTATAAGATGTCAGTCAGTGGTACAATGACTATGTTGCCAAAAAATTGGTTCCAGCCGCCGATACGCCGCTGCCGCCGAGTGAAATACGGCCTCACGCCGCCGCTGCAGCATTTTCGGCGGCGCCCACGTCTGGTCGTACCTTATACACTTGGAAGCTCTCTGGGATGGAGGTCTTCTCATCAGTCTTTCCGTGATCATCTGGTCTGTTAGTCCTTGCTCTAGTTTGAGGGCTTCAAGGAATTTCCAGATGGTAGGATTTGAACACTGGACGAGGCTGCGGAAACCATTATGCCATCCTTCTGCAAGGTTCGAAAAGCGTGGGAGACCAGCTAGACAGCAGTCGTACTGGTTCCAGGACAGGTGATCGAAGCGAGCAGGTCTGTTTGGTGTTATCATCCACGTAGACTCAAAGTATAAGGTTAAGGCATCCATATCTGCGGGGAGGGTAGGTCTAAGGGTCTGCTCGCAACCGCTCGTGCTGTTCGCACCATCTTCGAGAGGCTGTTGGTCTGACACCCAAGGTTAGCTCTGCACTCGAAGTCCAGTCCTGAAAGAACTTCAGCAACGATCCGTTTAGTTGATGTGTCCGATGTCACTGCACGTTCCTTCATCGTCTTCTTAGAGCGATGGACCAAGATCTCTGCTCTTTGTTCATCGTGGTTGTCAGACAGATGTCGCTGTCGGACAGGAGTCGTGTTACCCTTTATTTGAACGGACATTAAGATGAACGTTATATTAGGGCCTCCAGCGTTCAATTAATGTCCGTCCAAATAAGGTCCGATAAGGTAGTTAGCAAGGAGTATTCCTTTAAAGAAAGTTTTAATCACATCAACAAAATATCCATCCCATACAGCCCAATGAAACATAAAATTAAAACACTTTAAACAAAACACAGTTGCCACAAAACCGATCAAAATGCTCTTCCAGCAACCTTTGCTTATCTTGTCAAATTCTAACTTGTTCTCTTCATTGCTTCGCCAGAGAATCTGCAACAAACAAGTATATTATATTTGAGTAATAGTTAAGATTCTGTGATTGTTTTTACCAAACCCCATAATTGGGTAGAGTGGACTGTGGCCACTGCATCGTCTGTCAACTGTGTCTGTATTTCCTTTTTCGGCCCGCGTTATAGCGAGGGGCGTTTTACTTATAGCGAGGTACTTCTGTAATTATTATGAAGTTATCGTAATGTAACTGTCACTTCTTTCTCAGCTCCAATAGTTCATTGTCCGTTTATTTCTAGATTTCCATTGAAGCCACAAAGTAAGAGATTAGATTCTGAATTCAATGGTAAAACGATTTACCATGCCCTCAGTAACTTGCCACTAGGATCATTGTGCTAAGAGAATACATACTATAACTATTGCAGTCACTCTAACTCTTGTTAAATTTACCAAGCCTGTCTGTCCTTGTTAATCTCATACATGGGCACATATTAGGTGCGATGGGTGCGGGATCGCACAATTTACCGT